TAAGATGGCAGAAATATGCCGAGCTCCAACAGATGTTATGGGAGTTAAGCATGAAACATGCCATTTATAGTTGACAATTATGGCCCAGATGAGGAGACTTTTACTGCAGGAATGAGAAATGTGGTGTTTCAAACAACTCCCCCATCCCTCTTTATGCCCCAAGTGAGGTTACCCATATAGTAGCAAACTTGGGAGAGGGTGAAGCAATGAGAACACAGAAGGGAATATGGTCCACTACTCATAGGAAGAGTTTCAAAGGGCCCATAAAGGTCACGAGGACCCAGATGTGGGTTGATTTGATAAAGGCAGGAGTGGACAGAGAGAAATTCGATGGAAAGTCAAATAAAACCTTACTGGAGCTGTGGCAACAACTGAAGTTCAAGCAGCAGTATCAGCAGTTGGTTAAATCAAGGACCAAGAAATGGAAACCAGAGACAAAGCCATAAGTCTGGCCCATGTGCCTGCAGGACTTTTCTGCTGGAGAGTGGGCTGACTTCACCTGGACTCTCACAAGAAGATGACTGGGTGATATGGTTTGACTAAACAGAGTCAAGGCATGCATCTTGGGTGACCAGGGTAACTAAATATCAATTTATTGGTCCCCAGTGAATGTGCACTGTTTCCTGGCTCTGGTGGACATAGGAGCTGAATGCTCTCTGATTTATGGCAACCCTGAGGGGTTTCCCAGGACCCCTGCTTTTATAGATGGATATGGGGTAAGGCTATTGAAGTGAAATATGCCTGAACTCCTTGGGAACAGGGCATCTAATATTGTATATGATCTTATGCTTACTTCCAATTCTCTTACAGACAAATGTGGCATTATTGCAAGAGGTTTGGGGTCTTGTAGGCTGTAGGCTGTTGAGAGTGTTTATCTCTCACTTGGCACAAATTCTGAGGCCCTTATGCCATTTGTATTAAAAGGTGTCAGGTGGGGCTGGGATGAAACATGCAGTTGCTTTTGCCATTGCAAAACGGACAGTCAAGTTATGGCCTTGATTGAAGCAGATCCATCAAGGCCCTGTGAGCTGGATGTCTATGGGACTGAAGGTGGTTATGACTGGGGCCTCTGGCAGTGGCTTGAACAAACTTGCATAAGCCATTTGCATCCCTAGTAAATGAAGCAGACACATTGGCCCAGGTGCACTGGCTAGAAGGAAAGTCTGCCTTGGGGAAAAGATAATGTGGCTGTAGCCTAACTTTGACCTTTGAAGAAGTCAGCAGAGCCAGCAGGAGTGCATTGTGCTCTAAAAGGGACTTACACTGAGTCCCACAGCAACATGGGACAATAGCTAAGGGACCAATTCCCCTTGTCAGGTGGCAGATAGACTATATTGGGCCTCTGCCCATATCAGAAGGGTACTGATATACTGTGACTTGTGTAGACACAGCTACTGGACTTCTGGTTGCTCTTCTGCATGTTGTACAGACCAGCAAATGACCAAAAGAGGCCTTGGGCATCTCTTTGAAGCCTACAGCTAACCGCAGGTAATTGAGAGTGATCAAGGCACTTACTTTACTGGACATGCACATGCACCCAAGTATGGGTGCAATAACTAGGGATAAAGTGGAAGGTTCACATACCATATAATCCTACTGAGGCAGATATGATAGAGAGGAGAGCTACAACAGTTTGTTAAAATCTGGCCTGAAGTCAGACACCAATAGTCTTTGGGGATGGTGAGTCTGCTTATGGGCAGTGCTATGGTGTTTGAATGAAAAGCCCTGGGCACTGAGACCTGCAGACATGCTAACACACATTGCTGCCTCCCCTATACAATTACAGATACAAACCAAGGAGGAATTATTGAAGCTGGGGTTTGGTCACCAGAATATCTTGAAAGTAGCACCAACTGCAATAAACCCCAGAGACTCCATTCAGTAGACACTGCCTGGATGTTTTGATAAGACCAGTGATGGTTGGTCCTCCTGGCACCTTTGGGGCAAGGCCTACAGGCCGACCTCCTGCAGTAATGGCAGAATTGCCCCCAAAGATCATGGTAGTATACCCTAAACAGCCAAAGATAAGGGCATCTTACTGGGGAGTTTTATCATTATTGCCAGGCAAGTGCCTCCAGTAGCACTATATACACACCCCTCTGTAACACCCACAGGGAGAGGGGTAAAGGTACAGTATACTAGACCTAGAAGGGACTCCCTTCCTGCCCCAGTCCTATCACAGGACCTCTCTTGCAGGCATCCTACCTGATGGACAAGATTTGCCTATGTTGGTGTCACTAAAACGTGTCTTATTGCCCTTAAGGTTACTTTCCTCTGTGTCTGGATTGGGCACCCACCCTAGCAAAAACTGCTTGCTTGCTTGGGTATGCACTAAAAGTGCGAGTCATGAACTGTGGTTTGAATACAGCTGGAATGACCACTTGGTGGCAATCTCCTCAGGTTTGAGGATTATTATAATTTCTGTTAACTATATCGTAATTTTTTTATTTGCATATTGTTATAATCTGTTATTGTGGAATTTGCTTACAATGTTTCAGCTCTCTTGTACAGGGACCATCATGGAAGATGAGGGCATGGTGACTGTGAGGCAAAAAACCTGGAAGGCTGCAGTGTAGGGCAGATGCAAGTTCCCTGGCCAGGTTCTCACCTGACCCTGTCTGCTTGCCCACTGTACACGTGCAGTGCCCGCAGGCATAGGCTTGCACATGCATAGGCAATGAGTTACTAATGACCCTATATAGAGTTCCATTCAGCGCTGCAGGGCTGTGAGGCAGTGGAGAGGCCCAGAGGCACAGACTGGCTTGCTGCATACACACTTGACCTGAGGCAGAAACGATTCCAGTGTTTGACCTTCCACTACAAGAATAAAGCTGGGTGTGGATAAAGTGAAGGTTCCTTTGGCCAGGATCCTCACCTGGCCCTGGTAGGCTAGCTCACTACACATGTGTGGGCAATACATTGTTACTGACTCTATATAAAGAGCTCTGCCCAACATGGTGGCACAGCTGCAAGGCTGCAGGATAGCAGAGCAGAGGCTGGACTGGTGGCAGCGCCAAGGACAGAGACTGAGATGGCTGCGTGGGTAGAGAGGCCCAGCGGCAGAGACTGGCTTGTTGTATGCAGACTAGCTCTGAGTGGGTAGGATCTACTGATTGACCTGTCACTGTGGAAATAAAGTTGGGTATAATCCTTTCACCCCAGGAATGTTCTAATGTCATTTCTTTGGTCACACTGAATCCATAGTGAACTTGTCCGGGGCAGAAACCCATTGGCAAGGCACTGGGTATAAACCCTTTTACCCCAATATTCCATCATTTTTCGATCTCACCAAATCCAGAGTGAACTTGCCTGGGGCTGAAATCCTCAGGCAAAACAGGTCTCCTCACACCCTCCCACCACAGGCTGTTCTGTCAGGGAAGGGAGCCTGTGGAATAGCAGTTAAGGCCAGCCTCAAGGATAACAGACAGTCTCTCACCCCCACTGTTTCACCCCAGGCACTACTCCTTGAAGCCAGGGGAATGACTTTCTTCATTTTCTCCAACAGCAACTTCCACTTACTGAGTGCTATGTGCCAGGCTCTGTGCAAAGCATCCTCCCAAGTTTAATTTGATCCTCACAATTACCCTACCATGTAGTAACTGGCTTATCCCTACTTTGAAGATAAGGAAACTAAGGCTGCAGGGGTAATTTGCCCAATAACCTTGGACTCAGTCTGCGCCCTTCCCATGCTGGCATTAAACCATAACTGAACCACACACCTGTGAATCCAGAATTCTGTGGGCTGCATCTAGCAGAGGAGCCTCTGCATAGGAATTCACATGATAGAGCAGGGCAACTAAGGTGGGTGGTTTTGTTTATGACCCTTTGAAAGTCAGAAAACCAAGGCCTTTCCTGTCCCTCTAGTTTCCCTCACCACACCAGAAACAGGAGACTCTTCTGTGCCACCTGCAGTCTCCTTGCCCAAGCTGCTTCACTACCTAGCTCTCATTGATTGTAGCCTCTCATTTTTCAGGAAAAAGCCAAAAGCAAGATGTGAACCTTTCCATTAAAAAAAAAAACTGCATGCCAACATCTGTGGTCACTAGTTTGCAACCTCCGTCCCCCACTGACCAAGCCCTCTCTCTGCCTGGCTTTCCTTCAGCACTCAACAATTCCTGGCAGAAAGGAAGCAGTCAGTAAGCGTCTGGCACACTGATCAGGTGAAGCTCATCCAGAGGCAATGGATCTTAAATCTCCATCATATGTAGAACAGCTGATGCAACTACGGAGGACTTTTAGCCTCAGAAATGACTCATGAGAGGTGAATAGTTGTTGTGAATAAAATCCTTATAAAGCTAGGGGACATGGTTTGACAAACACTTTACGGGGGAGGGAGAAGGCTGCCATTAGGTAAAATACACATTTGACAACTTACTTTCATCCCTACTACTACTGTCCATACCTCTACCCACCCCCAGGCCCCCCAAATTCTTTACTTGTTCAAACCTTGAAGGCATTTGGCTCTCATAATCAGTAAGGGGAGTTCAGGTTCTGCCAAAATTTGGGTCCCAAATATCCAACCTATTATCTAAGAATCTTACCCAACTAAGGGTTTTTCCAAGAATTAAAATGAAATAAAATACATGATGACAGTGCTTGGCACAACATTTAGCAAAGGGTCAAGAAATATTCACCAATATGATAGAGGTTTAGTTTCTTTGAAGCACCAGAATATATAATTACTTTCAATGCACAGTTACAGGAAGTCTGATCTTAGCTTGATAACACTTCCATAACAATCCCAACTGAAATGAGATTATGAACCTACATGTCCAAACAGAATAGCAAGGCCAGTCCTCAGGGGACATGGAGAGGGGTTACCTGTTCCAGATATATGACTTTTATGGTCTCTGCTCCTAGGACCCTTTGACTAGATGTGCAACATGGAAAATTATAATGTACTTTAAAAAGAATGTGGCTGATCTTGATGGACACAGATACATAAATTAGAGAAAGTGGAAAAACAGATTACAGAACTACACAGTGGGAGCATGAGTTTGTTTTTTTAAAAGGATATATATAGGTTTATGTGCTCAGAACATTTCTGATTGAGTGTTCAAAACACTTAATTAGACAACCTTGGAGCCTGGGCTGGGGGAGCAAGTGTTTACTCCCCCACTATGCAATGATTACTTCTCGCTTTACAGGCTCTTTTTTCCTTACCAGCAGCATCATTAATCCTTATAAAAAAGGACTAAATAATTTAGTTTGGCCCAAACCTTATGGTCTTGAGTTTGCTTTGCAAATACTGCCCAGGATAAAGCTTTATACAGCTCCTCACGCCTTCACTCTCAAGGCCTTAGGACTTTCATTAGAGCACTGAACCCCCCAAGGCAGCCCTCCTACTACCAAATGCACCTAATCTTGGAGGCTGCTTCAGGTCACACACTCTTTGTCCCTCATTTCCTAGATCTTAGTTTTTTTTCCTCCCATGTGCACTCACTCCAAGGGTGACCTCATCCTTCCCCATGGTAGGCACTGTCCCAACATTTACTCCCAGAATTCTATCTCAAGCCTAGACTCCCTCCTAAATTCCAGACTTGTGCATTTCAACTGCCTACTCAACAGCTCCACTTGGGTGCTGACTGGACATCTAAAACTTAACACATACAAAATTGAATTCATCTACTCCAATACCATAAGACCTCTGAATCTCAGTTGATAGCACTTCCAGGCTTCTGGATACCCACATCCATAACCTCAGAGTAAAGAATTACTGGAAAGCAGTCGGCCCACAATGAAAGTTATCTAAAAATGAAGGTAGTCCTGAGTATTGGGATCAAAGATATACAATCATTAAACATTTTCTGAAAATATTTAAAGTTAAACCATTTTAAGTCTGGGACTTAGATTTTGTCATTTTAATTTTTTTTGACTACAGGACAATTCTTGCAAGCTAGGAAACAGAATCAAATTAATGCAGTCAGTCCTCTAGAGATCCAGGCTAAATCTTGAGCTCTTTAGCAGAATGGTATAGTACAAGGTGCTAATGACGGGGTTGTAACAACCATTTATCTGTAATTTTCCTTAGAAAACAGCCAAAAGTCCAGTCCTTAAAGGCATGATATATAGAACATCTTGATCTATAAAGGACAGAACGACTCAAATTATATGCTGGCCTACCTACTAGCAAATCTGATCAGAGTTGGCCAAGGACTGGTGAACAGAAAAAGTGTTCACTTTTTTAAAAACTTGCTCTGAAGTTTACAAAAGTCCTAGCTACTATATAAGACAGCAAGTAAAAAATATTACCAATATACCCACACTGATACTTGATTGTCAAGGTCTTTCACTAGAGATGTTATGTAGGGGATAAGATACTTAGGTATTTTCAAAACAAATTACTTAGTATATGAAATTTGAACTACATTCTTCTATTTGCCATGAGAACAAATTACAAGGAGGTCTATTGACAAGAAATGCTCAGCTGTAAAAAGGCTGGTGGCAGCAATGCTTTCCACTATAGAAGAAACTGTTTTCCCATATCATTAACATAGCCGCTCTTCCATGATAATGTATTCATGCAAAAAAACTTGTCAAGAGCTTTTGCCAGGGCCAGGAGATGAAAGATAGAGCATGTCCTAATTAGGTAATTATAAGCTCAGTTAACATCTTGAGGATGGATCCATAAAATCTGACCAGTTTTAACATCTGCAAACTGCATAATTTCTTAGCCCTTAGCCATAGTTTCTGCTCAGTATCTTAAAGCCAGGCTCAGTCCCATCTGTGACTCTTCTCCTCAGGGCTGAGGGTGGGTGTTAGTCATCAAAGTCTGGAATGTCATCGTAGGAGTAACCCCGGTAGCCTTTGGATGCATAGTAGGCGATGCGCAGGTGGTAAAATCCTGGCAGGAACACCAGAATGCCAATGATCAGGACGGGAACAGCCCGGTCTGCCCCCTGGTGGCAGAAGGAGGCAAATGCATTAGTACCATACAAGCTTCCAATTTTTTAAAATAAAAGGGTCCAATCCGTAGATCAGTATCTTACACTTTTTAGAGCATTTCCTTTGGGTAATGAACTAGCAAAGTAAGAGGCTTATATCTCTTTTCCTAACTATCAAATGAATAAAAAAACTTCAAGCACTAAAAATTATAAAGAAAATAAATTATAGATTTTCATCCACAGATATTTTCACTTATTTCCTTCTGTTTCTTCTTTCAAGTTTTTAGTCATGAACACACCACACCCTGTGCCTTGATTTTGTCTATTGTAACAAGCACTTGCCAAAATATTATTAAAAGCTCTTCACTAGAGGTGAGGGGAGGCAAAGTGGTGAGTGGTGAGTGGTGAGTGTGGTCAAAAGGTACAAACTTCTAGTTATAAAATAAATCCTGGGGATGTAATGTACAGTATGGTTGTGACAGTTAATAATTCTGTACCATGTATTTGAAAGTTACTGAGAGAACAGAACTTAAAAGTGTTCACTGCAAGGAAAAAAATTGTGACTGTGTGGCGATGGATATTAACTAGACTTATTATGACCATTTTGCGATACATACATCAAATCATTATGTTGGACACAGAATGCTGTGTGTCAACTAATGTTGTGTAACTTTCCACTGTGATACATGTAACACAATTTTACTTAACTGCCCTCCTAGACTTTTGGATATGATGGTCACTTCTCACTTTTCTTAACTATACAGACCACCACAATAAACTTCGGTGGTTTTTTGGCCTTTCAGATTATTGCCTTAGTATCTCCATGAGCACAATTCACAGGTCAAAGAGGGAGGAATGGTATTTGGTCTCTTTATCAGTATGGCTTCAACTTTTTGGAGAATTCTATGAGGGCAGGGACTTTGTTCACCCTAGTATCTCTAGGTGTGCCCAACATCTAACAGAGGCTCAATAAATCTGCTAAATGGATTCACCTTTGTAAAATTGCTTTCTCTGTCTTGTTTCTCCAGATGCAGTTTAAAATGTTTGCACAGTTCGATTTATCCTTTTCCTTTGTGACTTTTCCCATTGTTTTTAAGCTTTGGAAGATTTTCCTCACCTAAAAATTTAAACCCAATCTAAAAATCTCCATTTAATGGGGTTATTTACATAATGTACTATCACTAGGTTACCTAATCAATGTAGCTTTGGCTGATTCATTCACAAAAAGAAATAGGAGTATTTACCTCATATAGTTAAGAGTGAAAATTAACATGAAATAATTTAACCAGCTGGCACACAATGATTCAGTAAGTGTGAGTTTAAAACCAAGGGAACAGAAACTGAAGATGCTCCCTTAGACCAAATACAGACTATCTGAACATGGAAAAGAAAGTCTACAACTCTCACAACTGACTTTCTTGGTTCTACTTCTGTTATCCTATTTTACATTTTCTACTTTCCTGCTTCTTTTATCTTTTGCAGGACTTTGACCAGACATCCCTAATGGGATATATCCTAAGGATTGAAAGAATTGCAAAGAAAACTTACAGTGCATTTAACCTTCTTATATTTAGCACTAATACTCCTATTGGTATTTTGAAGCTAACATATGTATAATTTAGAATAAGGCAAATCATTGCATCAATATCATTTGGATAGACATACATATATAAAAATCAAAGAAATTAAGTTTTTTCTCTAATCTTAAATTTTGCATTGGAAATGTCTGTATGTTTTTATATCTCTATATATCTGTATGATATTTTGTCCCTTGTTTTCTAAATGATACCTATATCCTGATTCTGTCATTGAAAAGGCCTAAAAACAAGGAAAACCAATAGCAACAAGCACCATTAATGTTCAATTTGTGATCTGTAATTCTATGTCCCATTAACAAACCAAGGCTCCTTACAGAAATGGCTGTTTAAAGGTTGGGGGTGGGGAGGGTGGGGGCAAGAAATGTATAGATGGTCCTGGAATAACTTGCTAGGCCAGAAAGCAAGAAAGCATCAAAAGCTACCAAGACGTAGGACTAACTTGAAGAGACTCCTAGTGACCAAATATTAGATGATTTATGTGTTAAAAAGAATACAGACTGCAACTGATTGAAACACAAATATATTTTTAAATGATGCTAACAATTCTTTGGTCATCTTTTGAAGTTGCTAGGTGTGTTTTTATAAAAGTTGAAAAGAGAAATAATCATTTTCCTACCTTTACTATACCACATTGTATTTCAGGGTAACCAAATAGTGGATTTGAAAAAGATCTTTATAGAAGAATTTCAGCTGATAAATGCAGAAAATGACAGAACTGGATTCATCGGTGCAAACGGTGATAGGCAAGTTTATAAATTAGGCTGAAGACAAGTGAACCCAGTCATCAATCTTAATAACAACTGAAAATCAGGACAATCATTATGTCTCCTAATGTAATGCTATAGTGATAGTTCTCAGTATGTGGTCCTTGTACCATTAGCATCATGTGGGAACTTGTTAGAAATGCAAATTCTCACACCCTAGCCTAAACCTACAGAATTGGAATCTGGATGGGGACAAGGAATCTCTGTTAGTAAGTCTGCCAAGTGATTCTGATTAACTTTTAAGTTTCAGAACCAATGTGTTAGCAAATACACAGTATTTCCTATGAAATGTTCTTTATAAAACAAAAGTAAATCCAAATCTAAGCAAGTCCCTAAATCTAACAGTTTGCAAGAAATATGAGGAATGGACAAAACAAGATCAATGATATTAAGATAGTACCAGAGGGTTTATGTAAAACCTGTTAGAGTTGCATACTGAAAAGAATTTATCAGCGAAATGTAAATCTGGTATTTGCTTTAATATACAGGAAAAAGTTGGGGGAATAGATGAAACACTTTAATTGCTGATGCTGGATGGTAGACAAATTAGGGTTCAGTATATTATTCTATATACTTGTGTTAAAATGTGATAAAAAATGAAACAAGTATTAAGATTAGCATGCATAATGGGGGGGTGGGAGAAAGGGGAGGACTGTACAGCACAGAGAGGACAAGTGGTGATTCTGCAGCATTTTGCTATGCTGATGGACGGTGACTGTAAGGGGGTTTATAGGGGGGACCTGGTATAGGGGAGAGCCTAGTAAACATAATATTCTTCATGTAAGTGTAGATTAATGATAACAAAAAAAAAAAAA